GTTTAGGGTTTAGGGTTTAGGGTTTAGGGTTTAGGGTCTAGGGTTCAGGGTTTTGGGTTTGGGGTTTAGGGTCTAGGGTTCAGGGTTTGGGGTTTGGGGTTTGGGTTTAGGGTTGAGGGTGCGTAGGGTGAAGGGTCTGGGTTGCTTGAAGACCCACGGATTCTGCGTCTGTGAGGCTTCCGACTCAAGGGCCCATGGGATGGCGGATCTGGGTTCTTGTTAAGGGATTTAATTTAAGTTACCATAGTAAGGAAACCATATTATTTACTATAGATCCCTATTATGGTAACTTAAATTAAATACCTTAACAAGAACCCAGTTTTTCCTCTTGTTTTCAGGGCTCTTCTCCGTCTGCACGCGGGCACGGCCTACGGAAGCCTACCGGAGGCGAGCTATATCGGCTCCCTCGTGTACCTCCGCTTCCAGGAAGGAAAAACACGGATTGCAAGTTTAGGGGCTAAGGTTTTCGGGTTTAAAGTATGCAACACCCTCTCCAAGTGGAAGCTCTGAACAAAGATAAAGGACCCTTGACGGAACTTTCAACGACTTGATCCCCTCTTCAAGTTTCCACCCTAAGCACTACAGCGGAAAACAAAGGATCTTTTCAAGGACGCCATAAAATCGGACTCCGAACTGCTCGGAACTCCCATATCTTACTCGCGATCCAACTTCCACTGCCCGTCCTCCTCTGCAGCTCCATCAGTGCCGCCTGCCGGGTTGAGTATGTCCGTTGCGTGTTTACATATCTCGATATACATGAACGCACATTACTATGCTGCAGATGTGCGCCTGCATAACTACATAAAAGTACTCGCCTCCGCTCTGACTTTTTATGTCTATTACACTGCAATTCAAAATACGAACTCCAAGATGCTGTTGGTAATCTTTTGGGCCCCTATGCTAGAGTAACCCCGTATTCAAGGGAACTCTAAAGGAGCCCTGTTCTAACGTCGGCTTTCGAGGGCCCCCAGTGGCTCGAGAATTGCCGCGAGGTCCAGCCGAGGATTCAGGCATTCGTTAGAGATTAGGGTCGGGTTGGATACTCGGGGACCGGCAGTCTTTCTTTCTGTTTGGGTTTTGCATTTAGGGATGGGGGTTTAAGGTTCATGGTCCGGGTTTAGGGGTTGGTAGAGTAGGCTCCCGAAAGATGGAACATCATTATCCTCATACCCTTGAAGCAAAGTATAGGGAATCCCAACACCAATCACACTCAATGCGTGTTCCAACTTTGTGGGGTTCACTGTCACGATATTCTTCTCTTTCTACGTACTGCCCCCGCAAGAGTCCAGCTCCTGCAGCGCACCGTTCCTGGCAGCATGCAGGTCACCTGCAAGCGCAGATTTGAGACCCTCAACCTTGCACCGCCAGCCCCTAAACCAAACGGGAGCGAGGGGAGGCTGTTGAGCTGAGCGCTTCGGCGAGGCTTTCGAGTGTTGTTGAAGGTTGACAGCACAAGAAATCGATACCCGACTTGAGGGTTTAAGGGTTGGCCCGAAGGTCTGGCGATGTGTTTTTAGGAAAGATACCACCAACAACAACAACAACAACACCACCGCCACCACCAACAACAACAACAACAACAACAGCAGCAACAACAACAACAACAACAGTAACAATAACAATTACAAGATAAAAATAAAACAAGAATCATGATTATCATAACAAATTTTTAATCAGGGTTTCTCATGGGGGAGTTTAGGGTTTAGGGGTTGGCGTTCAGGGTTTGGGGTTCAATAAACTTCTACAAGGCTTCTTATCAGGGTGGGTTCTACGTGCCATGGCAAAAAAAGTTCAACTCCTCAACAAAGGCAGAGGGGTTGACGCGTGGGTGCCGTGTGCAGGGACGTTATAGCGTAGCGCTAGTCTGTATGCGGAATATGCTCCAGGGTCTTTTGGGGCGTGAGATTCACCCTAAACCCTAAACCCTAAACCCTAAACCGTATTGCTTTAGAAGTGAAGGGCTTCGGGTTTACGGCGTTTAACGGCTTCAGTCGAGCTGAAGCCTTGCTGTCACAGTGTCCTGTTTCTGCTTGCAACTCAGGTGACGAGTGACACGCTGAAACTTCCTAAGACCTGAAACCCTCCCACTCACATGTGGATCACACCCTAAGCCCTAAGCCCTAGAACCCTAAGCCCTAAACCCTAACCCGCGAAACCCTGAAAACGCCAACCCTAAAAATCCGAAACCCTGGCATCGCCTCATCGAGCTCCTGAATCCCCAACAAGAAGCCCCGGCCCCGAGCCAACCTCGATGAGGCTGCGTGTGCAGCTCTGCCACGGTCGGACTGCAAGCCCCGAAGCTCGAGATTCGGATCTTGTAAGGGTTTAGGGTTTAGGGTTTAGGGTTTTAGGGTTTAGGGTTTAGGGTCTAGGAGGGGTTCTTTTGTGTTGCTTTACAGGTTTTGTAGACTTGCGACGCGTCGGCTTGAAGAGTTACAGATTTGGGCCTCTCGGGGTGTAGCACCGCGTGCATGAAGCAGCAAAGAGCTCCCATACCATATCCGATTAGATTATCCGTCACTATATTATTAGACTATAGTATAGTATATCATATTGTGTATGATTCATGTTAAATTATATTCTTTTGATTGTCGTATAGCATATTATATCATATTTTGGGATAATAGAAAACGTTATATTACATGATCCATATATGATACCGTGTCTATTTATATATATATATACATATATATATATATATATATATACATCTCTTTGCTTATTCGCACTATACCTTATTACCAACTCCAGCCTTGCCGTCGCGTTTTGTCTTCGCGTTGCGCTGCCGCGGGCACTCTGGAGGAGCTCCGTGACCTCCAAGCTCCGAATGCTTCGAGTTTAAGGCTTAGGGGTTTAGGGCTTAAGGTTTAGGGTTTAGGGTTTAGGGGTTTAGGGCTTAAGGTTTAGGGTTTAGGGTTTTAAGGGTTTAGGGTTTAGGGCTTAGGGTTTTAAGGGTTTTGGGCTTAAGGTTTAGGGTTTAGTATAGGGCTTACGAATTCGGGTTTAGGGCTGGGCTCAGAGTGTAGTTTTCGGGTTTGAAGCAAATCCTACAAGAGGCTTAAGACCTGGACAAAGTCCGAGCCTTTATCTGGTGTTATGTGTAAGTAAGTGTGTATATATATATATGTAGATGCATATGCATTTGGATGTGTGTGTATATGTATATATACGAACACCCGAAAGTTGATGCATGCATACATACATTTCTTCCGGACGCAGCGAGAGAAGTCTTCGTTCGCCTAGCGAGAAACAGTAGCAGAGCAAGCTCCGGCATCTCAAAGGATGCTACACTACATAGGGCACCAGGCCAATGCATACATACATACATACATACATACATACATACATACATACATACATACATTCATTCATTCATTCATTCATTCATACATACTTACATTCATTCATTCATTCATTCATTCATTCATTCATTCATTCATACATACATACATACATACATACATACATACATACATATATATATATATACAGAAATATATATATATACAGAAATGAGGTAAACCTAGAAAGCCGGAAGCTACCTTTCAGCTACGTACCCACAAAATTGGGGGGCTTTGACAAACTTTACACTCTCTGATTGCTTGAAATGCGAGTATTGAGGATTTTCAATGGTTAACATCAAGCTATCACTGAAGGCTCCGAACTCGGTTTTTCACATCACGCTTGACAGCGTGAAGTCCTTGACGCGGGGACGCTCCAAACCATAAACCCTGCAGCCCGAAAAAAGTTATTAAAGTGCAGCAAAACCCCCAAACCCAAACTAAGGCTCAAGGTTTACATGTTTTCGGCAGTGAGGTTTAAGCACGCAAGGGGTTCAGGGCTTACGGTTCAGGGTGCATGGAGCAAGGCTTGTAATTTTTTTCCCTTGAAAAGCCTAGGGAACCAACCTGACACTAAGAGCCCTGTGACAGTAACAAGGAAGAACCCAAGTCTGCATCCCAAAATACTCGGATCTTTGCTAATTAAACGAAACACGATCCTCATTACAAGGGACCCTACATAACGAAACCCCCCCTTAAATCCTGAACCCACAAAATAGAAGCCTCTTTGAAACAGAGCTTTTGACAAGTCCCGGGGAAACGAAAGCCCCCAGAGGACAAAGCAAAAAAACCTATGCCCTAAACCCGCAAGCCTCACCCTCAAACCCCTAACGCTAAGCCCCATAAGCCCCCAAAGGAACTTGTAAAGGAACAACCCCCGAACAGGAACCCCTTTGAGGAACTTTTAACGGAGAGATCCCAACCTCGCCGTCCTCTGGGGCTGCGCAGCCGCCGGCAAAGTCTGCACCTCAAAATTTGGGGGCTTCGGGGTTCTGAATATTCTAGTAAGGGTTTAGGGTTTAGGGTTTAGGGTTTAAGGTTTAGGGGTTTAGGGTATAAGGTTATGGGTTTTCGGCGTACATACATAATCGCTACCAGTACCTTATTTCCAAAGTTCTCTGACAGTATCGGGTGGGGTTCTTGTAAAGCCCGAGTTGAAGAGCTTGGTATAACGTGCAACGAAGTACTACTCAGCTACTGTAAAACCGGCTTTTCGATGTTGGGCGCTTATGTGTTTGGGGTGTTTGTTTTCTAATGTTTTCAGAAACCTTCGGGTGTTGAGTCTCGAGCCTAGGGCGTAGAGCTGTAGGGTTGTGAGTTTAGGTGGCTCACTGATTAAAGGCTCCGGGGTTTAGGTTGGGGAAGCCACTTGCTAAACATAATGCACTAAAACTTTAAGCCGTAGACCCCAAACCCTACAACCTGAACTTTAAACCCAAGCATGTAGAAGGCTTGAGGGGAATGGCAGCGGCTACCCACTTAGAGCGTTGTTTAGGGCTGACCGGTCTCGGGCTCACGTTTTGCATAAGGGACTAAAATGGCGGGATGAACAGGTGGCCAATCCCCGATGACCCAAAAACCCTAGTAGCAACCCCCCATCTTTTTTAACTCCTCAAACCCATCAATCAACCCCAAACCCCAACACCTGAAACCCCGAAACAGGTTCAGAAGTCGAACCCCCAAGACTCCCTGGTCCCCGCCCGGGACTGGACTTGAGGCGTGGGCTCTCGGCCAGGTTGCTGGCGAAGAGGACAAAAGCCTGAAGGCGGCATCATAGCTCTTAGGGTTAAGGGCTTTTTGGTTCCAAGGGCAATCCAAGCAGTTTGTAAGCTTTTGTTCAGATGATGTGATGATGTGAGCCCCTGCGTGTATGCTGCTTGCAAAGTACTGCTGTGCAACGATTCGGCTACGAAAATCCATGTTTGAACGGGCAAGACATGCTTTTCGTTAAAAAGCATCAGCCGCAGGGCTTTATTTCGCGAAAAAGCAACGGAGTAACGTTAGTAGCTAGTAAACCTTAAAGTTATCATTGAAAGAACCCTTGTAGGAATTCCTGTACAAAAATGCAAGGACTTGATGTTGAAATTGCACAACATCCTATCGTAAATGCCCTGCATTGGGTTTTCCGATGCAACAGCAGCATGATGTAGTAAATGTCATGCTGGTGGGGATTTCCATCACGGGGGCCCGTGTGCGCAGATCATAGGCGCATCTTAGAATAAACGGTTTGGCGTTGCCAAATGCAGGAAACACGTGCGCATTCGTTGTTCGTCGCACCCACCTCTACCCAGGCCCATCTTTGGGCCAGTTGTCTGTGAGATGCTTTGCACCCCAATTGCGTTCTCCACCCCTAGCTGCTCATGAGGGCTCGAAGCTTTTGGCTTGACCCAGCTGTCGGGATTGGGGAAGCCTGCAGCCTGGCTGAAGTGGCGGGAGAACGGGACAAGGGGACCAAGCAGCACTCCAAGGATTGGAACAACAAGGCCGCAAGAGGTTCGGCCAAAAGCAAAGGCAGCGCCAAGAGGCAATCCCAAGACAGAACCACGGGCCAAGCCAGACGCAAAGAAGAGGATCATAACACTTGCGCAGGAAAGGTTGAAGAAAAGCAGACGAAGGAGCAGGAAGAAGAAGTATAAACAGAAAGAGGAGGAACACGGGCAGAAGAAGGAGGCCGGCTACAGATCATGAGCAAGAAGTAGAACTGAGTCTATGAAAGAGACAAGCAGAAGAGGCGAAAAACTTTTGTAGCCGAGATTTTTGCATCATGGCATCAAGTTCGCAGGTGTTTGTCTGATTTCGTTCCGCCATCGACAAACAAAAATGAAAGGTGTGGATTGTATGGGACTGTTGCACAAATTCTCAACCCAGAACATACCCAGTCTTTGAATCCCAAGCACGCGACCACAAACGTAAACCTTTGTAGACGTGGGATGCAACAAAGCCCAACCTCCAAAAGCCCAAACCCTGAGTCCTGCAGCCACGTCATGGGGTATGTCAACCGTAACAGCCTCAACACAAACGGATTATCCGGACGCTCCGCCCTTCAGCATCAAGCCGGATTGCTTACGCCAACTCACTAGCGTGCCCGAGATGACCTTGCTTCCTCATGAAGATGGTCGAGTGTTGCGTGCCGAAGGTGAAGGGAACCAACTTCGTCCGGAATTTGGTACTCCTCCCAGGCCTCCGCCGGTCCCCTCGGCCTCTACAGGGCTGCTAGGCAGCAAACCGGTTGATTCCTTGGAAGCTGAGGTCGAACCGACCCTCCTGCTAGACACCTCCGGAGTTACCAGCCTTTTCCCGAAGCCCACTGTGAATCACAGTGACTCCGACTAGGCACTGGACTTAGGTCTCAGAGGGACAATCTGGGGAGAGGGTTACTGAGGAAAGCAGGGGCCAACTTTGGCGACCTTGCAGCCACGGCTGACCCCGGGCTGGCCACTGATCGAATCATTCATGCGATCGACGGCCTTCGCAAAGCCCAAGATGAGGACAAGACGGGGACTAAGGGCCAGCTTAGTGCTCTCAAGGAAGGCGAAAAACTTGATGTCTTTCTTGCCAGAGGCTGTGGCCAGCTCTCCGTCGAGCTGTGCAAGGACGTGTACGGAAAAGAATTGTTCCACAGCATCAAGCGCGCTGGACATCACGCGAAGCATTCATTGGGACTCATTAAATGGCCTGTGCTCATTACCAATCGGGTAGCCCTCGCCGTCGCGGGTCTTTGGTGGGGAGGATCAGAAAGCTTCACACTCCTTGCCTCTGATTGCGTTACCGCACGTACAGAGCAGGTAGAAGCCTGGGACCCTCCGACCGAGCATAAAATCGAGGGTCGGGTCAAGGCGCCGTCCACTTTCCTAACTTGGCTGCGTTATGCTGAGAACGCTGTGAAGGTATTTGGCAGTGCCTATATATGGTCTCGAGCACGTACAGGAACGGATGAAGTTCCTGCAGGCTTTGCAGGAAGCCCATGAGGAAGACGAACATGCTGTTCCCTTCAAGTACTGCATGGACCTCTACGAGGAGCTCTCTGCCGTCTGGTGCGAGGGGATCCGCGAAAGGAGGAGGCAGCTGTGTGCAAAGCTGGGAACCGAGAATCCTCGACTTGAAGACCTGAAGCTCATCGCCCTCGCGCCAGGACCTGATGGGAACCCCAACTTCCAATTCCCACGGGTATGGGACCTTAGCGGCCCCTCCGGGTACTACCAGCGCGTGATTCTGCCTCGCCAGGACCATGCAATGGCTAGATTGCTTAATAAGCAGTTGCATGACCATGTCACCCGGGATCGGCGGCCTGACCATCGGAAGACCGCAGGTCCAGAGGACCGAGAGGGAACGATTGGCGCACCGCCCGATTCGGACGAAGGAAAGTCCGGAAGGGCGCCCCGTTTGGCCCTCAGGACTGAGGATCCGAAGACGGGAGGGATCGGGGATAAGGCATATCCTGCTGGGAAGCGTCTCACCCCCACCGAGGTGAAGAGGTCTATCACGCATGCTGCGGTTTGTCAGAAGTACAACGCTTCGCATCGCCTGCTGACGTTTCTTCTCGCAAGCACAGCTGCGGACTCCCCGGCTCCCTGCCAAGCCTCAACTTACGAGGCCTCTGGGAAAAAGCACCTCCTCTTGGAAATGCTTTTCAATCGTGCAGCCGCACCTGCAACCGTCAAGCATATCCAAAAATGATAGCTTGTGAAATTCGGAACAACATGTCGCAAAATCGGCCGACGTCTGAGCTGCCAACTTGATCACGGTGCTCCTCAGCACCGCCGGCAAACATGCCGGCTTTAAGCAAAGAAGAGCTTCCAGCTGAGGCTCCTCGGAGGACATCAACTCGCCATCCATCTGAACACCCTAAAGCTCTTCATGCTGACGGCTGACATCTTCGCTAGAAGCAATCATCGCGCGCCTCAGATGTCTTTGACATAACCCAACAAAGCGGAGCTTGCTTTCTGTATCGGCTAAGTGCAAAACTGCGAGCATTCCACGACAAAGCTCGTGGAGATTTTTTGCTCCCTGTAAACCACAGCATCATCAAAGCGCACAGTTCAAGGGGCACCGCAACGCTGCAGCACAGCCTCCAAATGGTGGCAGGAACAATGCTAGCAGACCTAGTTTTCAAACGGAGAATTTCAATCAGCATGTTTCGAAAGGTCTGATGCAAATTTAAGGATCCAGCTCTGCGCAGCTGCATGCAAAGCGACACCATGCCATCACTGCAGCAGAGCATTCCCAGAGAGAATCATCAACTTGCCATCCAATCGAAAACCCTTTAAGCTCGTCGTGCTGACGGCTGACATCTTCACGAGAAGCAATCATCGCGTGCTTCAGATGTCCTTCGACGTATCCCGACAGACTCTGTGTCGGCTACATGCAAAACTGCACTCCACGACAAAGCTCGTGCAGATCTTTGGCTCCGTGTGAACCATAGCATCATTAACGTGCAGAGCTCAAGAGACACAGCCACACCGCTGGCTCCGGCGCAGCATCCAAATGGTCGAGGGAACACTGCCACCATTCAGCATGCGAAAGGTTGGATGCAAACGCATCGGAGATACGCGGTCCTAAACCCGACGCATTAAATTTCAAAACCTAAAACCTCGCGACGCTAAACTCAAAACGAAATCTAAGCTTTAGAGTTGACAGAATGTGATGATTGGTTTAAGGTTTACTGTCTCCATCCATAATGATCCCGCAAAGAAACCTTCTGCACCTCGAAAGGAACCGTATAAGGAACCCTCCAAGAAGTTCTCATAGACCCCGTGAACGGAACTGCTCAAGAAAGGCTTTAAGGAACCCTGGTCCATGTATTGTCACGGCAATACGGCGTTCATGTCTGCGGACTTTGGTTTAGGGTTTAGGGTGTAGGGTTTACGGTTTGGGGTTTAGTGTCCAAGGGCTTTTGAGTTTAGAGTTTAGGCTTCAAGGGCTTTGGGTTTTGAGCTGTTTCACAAACCCTAAACCCGAACCCCCAAACCAAGCGACAACTGTTGCAAACTTTTGGCCTAAACGGCTATGGCACATCGACCTCCCTGCTCCTAACTTGCGTATGCACCTCTGCGACGCTGAAACACTAGCCTAGCCTCGAGCCCTTGAACCTGAGGGTGAAACCCTCAAACCCCAAAACCGGCAGCCCCACTCCTTTAAACCGAGCAAACCCCGTTATGGTTCAGAGTTCGAGGTTTAGGCTTAGGTTTTAGGGCGGGAATAAAAGGCTCGGCTGCAGGAAAAAAGGGGCGGCCGAAGAGCCTAGGGCTGAATTACTGCATTGGCCATTTCTTCAACTCTAGAGTTTAGGATTTAGGGTTTAGGGTTTAGGGTTTAGGGCTTAGGATTTAGGGTTTAAGGTTAAGGGTAAGGGTTCAGGGTGTTAGGCTTTACTTCTCCAACTTTAGGGTTTATGGTTCTCCAGTAAAGTTTTAGGATTCAGGAGTCACGGCATGTGCTTCGGGCTTGCGCGCCACACCTAGCCCCAAAAACCCTGAGCGCCAGAAACACCTCACAAATGGTGAATATTCTGCTCCGGTTCTGGGACGCAGATCTCGTATTACCTGTTCGTTGCCATTTGGACGTTAAGAACTAGGAATTGGGGTTTCGTGCTCGGTGTGCTTACGATAGAAGTCTGCGGAGCCCTAAAGTCCAAGGAAGCCTTTAAACCAGAATAAGCCCATCCATAACAAACCTTAAGATGTGTCGATATCTTATAATGCGTTTCTACAGCAATAGAAACCATCTCAGTACTTCCAACAACAACAACAACAACAACAACAACAACAACAAAAGCACTAGCAATGATACCAACAACAAGGACAATAGCCTTGACTTTCTGAAGTTCCTTGCTTCCGGGACATCCGGAGGTGCTGAAGGCTTCGGCATGATCTGTCTGTATCAGTATCTGAAGCTGTGAGGGTTCCCCAGAAGTCTTGAGAAACCACCTGAGGAGGCGCAGCCGGGTCACTCTGGCTGCGATTGAAGACTCGAGAAGCTGTGAGGTTGGCTTTATCCAGGGTTTAGGGTTTAGGGGTTTAGGGTTTAGGGGTTAGGGGTGAGGGGTTTAGGGTTTAGGGTTAGTTGTCTTGGGAATCCGTGCATCCCTTGACTCTGTCCAGTCTGGGACTTGCTGAGCTGCTTGCTTCATGTCGCGTATGCTGGGCTCAAGCATCACGCCATCAATTATCCGATTACGCTACCACCTCTGCCCTGTCGCAAACTTTCGACAGGGCACTTCATGGGATTAGATTGGTCCTTCTGCAGCGTCCCAGCGGGTTATAGAAGATTCTAACTACAAAGGGACGGTTGACAAGGAGGGGGTGTACGAGCAGACGGCAGCAGGAGGACCACGGAAGACGCCAACGGTCTTCAAGCCGTGCAGTTTGCTAGTGCAGGAGTGCCAACCCCAGTCGGGAGGCACAGGGAAAACATGAAATTTCTCGTTCTCCTTCCGAGGTAGATGGAGCGGTATGGGAGCATCCCGCTTCACTCTGGCCAGGTGCGAGGATTTTAGGGCTTAGCGCTTCCTTCCACACTGTCTCACTTGTTTCCGCCCAACCCTGGAGGCCAAGCCGAACCGCCCAAGGCGCGGCGTGGAAAGGCAAAGAAGCGGAGCAAGATTTGCCACCGGTTGAAGCCCCTCTGCAGGTTCAACTTGTGCCCTCTGACATACTGCTTGTTTGGGCCATGCCCTCGAAAAGGGTAGTTCTCTAAATTACGGCCCCTTTGTAGGTCCCCAATATTGTACGGCACCCTTATAAAAAAAAGCAGCCTAAAGATACCCTAATTTAGAGAACTACCCAAAATTCCGTTAAAAATTCTGCCTCACCCCTGGCTTGTTGCTGTAAGCCAAGGGCTGGGAGCTGAGGCCTTGGATGGTATTCGTGGCGATTCTCCTGGCCGGCTCCTTACTGGCAGGGCTGGGCATGGCAGCCGACGAGAAGTTGGAAAAAACAGCAGTAATGGTACCTTAGTAATTAGAATAGGGTTCCTTTAAACGGCTCCTTTAAAGGGTTCTTCATGGGCTACTATAAGGGTTCTATGATGTAGTGGCCCTAATGATTAGAATAGGGTTTCATGGGGGTTCCTTTTTAGGGGTTCCTTAAAGGGTTCTATAAGGGCTACTATAAGGGTTTAGGGTTTGGGGGCTTCAATAATTCCATTATACTATAGCTATAGTAAGGAACCTAGGGCTGAGGTTTAAGCAGAAAGTCCGCCCTGCCAGGGCTTGCTTGAAAAATGAAGCGGCTCACGACATGAGGTCAGATCCTTCAAGATGCGGCACAAGCATTTGGCATTTGCCAACACGCTGACAGCCGTCCCCTTGAAAAGCAGCTAGCTTTCCCAGATTCAGCCGGGATTGGGATCAGACGCCTTGTGCTGTGCAAGGCCGCTGCCTGGCTCTTCACATTGCATGCTGCCAAGAAGTGGGTAATGAACGGTGTGTGGATTTGCAGCTTCTCGTCGCCGAGGTGTGTGGGGTTCTTTGCTTTGGACAGAGCCGCGTGCTATGCTGAGCTTCTGCCAGTGTCCTGCGTGAGTGTCTAAGGTATGGTACATGTTCCGTCGTCAGATTCGCGCGTTTTGTCACACTATGAAGCTCCATGTCTATCGGTCCGTGGGTATGTGCCCGTCGATGTGGCCTCTCGTAAAGTCTGCGAGCGCAGATGCATGCATGCATACCTACTTACATGGTCCATCTCCATCCACCTGTACTTGCACACATATGTACATCGCTGCAGGCAGGCCGACACAGTACACAGCATTAGAAGACGGGTACGTGTGTATGTATGTATGTATACATGCATGGATGCATGCATGCATCGGCATGTGTGTATTCTGCTCTTTGGTTGACCTATTATATATATAAGACTACATACATACATATGTATGTATATATATATATATACATTATACATATGTATATTCTTACATATATATATATATATATGCAGGTGTATGGCAATGTGTCTCCAAGGCGGAAGCTTCGCGGAGAAGTCCAGCCAGCTTCGTGGCCCCTTGCTCGGAGATGGACATAGGGTCTTGGTGCAGTTCCCAACGTACCCCAAACCTTGACGCCCTAAAGGATCGAAATCAGGAAACCCAAATCCAAGTTTTGGAAGACTTGCGATTGACATCGATCTGAGGATCAGCTTTACGGCCCTGCCTGGAGCCTACAGAGCTTTCAGTGTGTAGTGGCTCAGGGCTCTGCAAGTCCGCGTGTGTATACACGTCTGTGTGCATGCATGTATGCATGACTGCATATGTATGTATGTATGTATGTATGTATGTAGGTAGGCAGGTAGCTGGGTAGGTAGGTAGATACTTTGATCATACATCACCAGGAATAAAGTTTCGTCGCACTTG